TACCAACGCAGTATTTCTAGTAAAAAACTTCTTGGCCGGTGCTGCAGCTCACTAGGCTAATCCTCCACCTGCGGCACCGGCACCCCAGGTTCTAGTTCCTGGTCAGGGCGCCAGATTCTGTCCCAGTTGCTCCTCTTCCAGTCCAGCTCTCTGCTGTGGCCTGGGAAGGCAGTGGAGTATGGCCCAAGTGCTTGGGCCCTGCACCTGCATGGGAGACCAGGAGGAAACACCTGGCTCCTGGCTTCGGATTGGCGCAGCGCCAGCCGTAGCGGCCATTTGGGGAGTGAACCAATGGAAGGAAGACCTTTCTCTCTGTCTCTCTCTCTCACTGTCTATAACTCTCTCTCTCTCTCTCTCTCTCTCTCTCTCTCTCTCTCACTGTTTAACTCTGCCTAGCAAAAATTTTTTTTCTTTAGTTTTACTTTTCTGTAGTCTTCCATTATTCTTTTTGCAGATTTCATGATCTTCCCCAGGGAAGAAACAATGAAGTCTACATTGCTGGGCATTGAAGAATTATCCATATAGAAGTCAGAGAGGAGCCCATGGGTGGACGCACCTCTGCTGAGAACACCTAGGACATTATAACTAGGGTGACCATAAAATTTATGAACCCAGAGGCTGGCGCTTTGGCGCAGTGGGTTAAAGCCCCAGCCTGAAGTGCCAGTATCCCATATGGGTTCCAGTTCGAGTCACAGCTGCTCCTTTTCCAATCCAGCTCTCTGTGATGGCCTGGGAAAGCAGTGGAAGACGGCCCAAATCCTTGGACCCTCATGGGAGTCCAGAACCTTCATGGGAGACCCAGAGGAAGCTCCTGGCTCCTGGCTCCTGGCTTCAGTTCAGCTCAGCTCTGGCTGTTGCAGTCATTTGGAGAGGGAACCAGTGGAATGGAAGACCTCTCTCTCTCTCTGGCTCTACCTTTCTCTATAACTCTGTCTTTCAAATAAATAAAATAATTCTTTTAAAAAATTTATGACCCCAACAAGGACACATTATATGCAAAATGAGATGCTACTATTATTATGCTAAAAAGTTCAGCATAAATTAGCATTAGTTTAGGCAAGGTGGACCCTCTACAGTCATACTAGGTTCAATTCATTTGGATAATTCAAACCAGGGCTTGTGGGACTTGTGGCTGTAAGACTCCCTGGCACTTGGGATTCCCTGCTGACTGCAGTGGTGATGTGTGGACCAGGGTGTGCCTAGCACTTTGGGGACTGAATTGCTCTTGGGGGAGAAGGCCCCTTGGCTGATCATATGAATGAAGCTTTGTCCCCTCTGCCCACCCCTACCACCAGTCAAATCATCTCTGGACTGGTTTTTCTCATCTGCCCCTTGTCTTTTTTTTTTTTTTTTCTTGACAGGCAGAGTGGACAGTGAGAGAGAGAGAGAGAGAGAGAGAGAGAGAGAGAGAAAGGTCTTCCTTTTCCATTGGTTCACCCCCTCCATGGCAGCTGCGGCCGGCGTGCTGCGCTGATCCGAAGCCAGGAGCCAGGTGCTTCTCCTGGTCTCCCATGCGGATGCAGGGCCCAAGGACTTGGGCCATCCTCCACTGCACTCCCAGGCCACAGCAAAGAGCTGGACTGCAAGAGGAGCAACCGGGACCGAATCCAGCACCCCGACCGGGACTAGAACCCGGGGTGCCAGCGCCGCAGGCGGAGGATTAGTCTATTAAGCCGCGGCGCCGGCCTATGCCCCTTGTCTTTGCCAAGCACTGCGTGGCAAAGGAGCACAGAGCAGTAGCCTATCCATTACACTTCCCTGTCTCCTTGGTGTTCAGATGTTCAGCTGGGACACTGGCCAGGCCCCTCCCCCGCCCCGCCCCCTGGCTGCTATAATATTAATGATTGGTAGCAGTGGCTCCCTGAACCTGCAGCAGTCTGGCTCCTCTCTCTGAACCCCTCCAGCCTCCTCACCATCATTCTAGCAACCTTAGAGTGATCTCTTGGCCATTCCCACACTCACGCCTCCTCTCTGAGAAAGAAGGTGTGGTCCACGCATTCTTTCCAAGTCACCTGTAATAAATGCCAAAGAATTCTGACATGCCCCATCCTAAACCCACAGGAAAGACCCGCCCCTGGAAAGGGAAATTCCTGTGAGTACCTTGTAGAGCTCGCCTGTCTGGAAGTCACAGTTGCTGTCATCTGCCCTTAAGCACGTGGTCCTCTGCATCTCCAAGTTCATGTGAAATTCCAAGTGATCTGTCACCTGAGGGCAGCAGGGGGCAAGGAGGCAGAAAGATGACCTCATTTTCCCTCTCTGCGGTTTCCGCCTTCACGCGGTCCTCAAGAGCAAGCACCCAGCCCTGGGCAGATCAGCAGCCTCCTCTCTCTCCTTCCTGTCTGAGCCTAGGCATCCTTTTGGCATTCAAAGAGAACTCACCGGAAACCACGAGAAATACCTTCTTTCTCTGTGGGCAAAGCTGCATTTTGGATACACAAATGAAGCTACTGATTCTGGGCAGGGTCTGCAGAGTTTTTCTGGGAAGGGCAAGAGAGTCAACACTGCGTTTATTTATATGTTGACTTAGTATTTTATTCATTTGAAAGGGAGGGAGGGAAGGAGAGAGAGAGAGAGAAAGAGAGAGAATGTCCATTTGCTATTTCGTTACCCAGATGCCTGCAATGACTGGGCTCCAGGCCAGGCCAAAGTCAGGAGCCATGATTTCAACCTGGGTCTCTCATGGGGGTAGCCAGGACCCAAATACTTGAGCCATCATCTGTGGCCTCCCAGGGTGCACCTAAGCAGGAAGCTGGAATTGAGAACAGAGCCAGGACTTGAACCCAGGCCCTCGAGATAAGGGATGGCAGGTGTCCCAAGTAGCATCATCCAAGCCTCTATGCCAAACGTCCACACGGACAGTAAATGTTTGGGGTCTTTGAGGGCCACCTAGTCCCTGCTGCAATGCCTCCGTCTACCGCTGCCCCAGGAAGGCTGGTGGAGACGACAGCTGCGTGCAGGGATGGTGGTTTCAGGAAACTTGACTCACACACATGGTCGGCAGGTGTGCTTGGTCCTTGGGACGTGAAGACCTCGGGTGCATTTAAGTGACTTATCGTGATCCATTCTAGTGAATCTGTGTCTCTCTTAAAATGCCCTCTTCCGAGTAAATGAGGCTGAGTTTCACAGAAGTGGTCTCTCTCTCTCTCTCTCTCTTAGCAGGGTCACCTACCTATATTTCAAACGACCGTATTTCTTGGGGGGAGGGTACTGCGTGATCATTCCAACACGAATCTTCCACAGGAGGAGGTGATCAGATTGGGTTAGATAACATTTCCATATCCTTAGACTTTTTTTTTTTTTTTTTTGACAGGCAGAGTGGACAGTGAGAGAGACAGAGAGAAAGGTCTTCCTTTGCTGTTGGTTCACCCTCCAATGGCCGCCACGGCCGGTGCGCTGTGGCCGGCGCACCGCGCTGATCCGATGGCAGGAGCCAGGTACTTATCCTGGTCTCCCATGGGGTGCAGGGCCCAAGGACTTGGGCCATCCTCCACTGCACTCCCTGGCCACAGCAGAGAGCTGGCCTGGAAGAGGGGCAACCGGGACAGAATCTGGCGCCCCGACCGGGACTAGAACCCGGGGTGCTGGCTCCTCAAGGCGGAGGATTAGCCTAGTGAGCCACGGCGCCGGCCTCCTTAGACTTTTTAATGTTCCCTCAATTGCCCAGAACTCTCAACTGCTGTGCACATCTGTGGGACACCGAGTGGCATTGTGTGTCATGCATGCAGTGGGCAGTGCCCACATGGAAGCCAACAGCCTCCCCCCCTCCCCTCTCGCCCTCCCCTCTCTCCCTCCCTTCCCCCTCCCCTCTTCCCCTCCTCCCTCTCTTCCCTTTCCCTTTTCCATTCAACTCCTTCCATCATCATTGCTCTGTGCTGGGGGGCCTTGAACCCCCTCTTGGCCATCCCATTACAAAAACAACAGGAAGGGCCCCTGGCCACGCGGGACCCGGTTCAAAGGGGCCTAATCCCCCAAAACACCAAGGAGCCCGGGTGTTGGGCATTGTTGACCAAGTTGGGGGGCACACTTGACCTTTTTCAAGATCTTCAGGACCCGGAGGATCCTGAAGCTGTACTTGTCTTCGCTCTGCTTGTTGTACTCCTTGATGACGTACCGCAAAGTCCCTGCCACAGGTTCCTCCACTGCAGAGACTTCTTGGATGCTCATGAGGGTTTTTCTCCGACCCTGATAGGTGACGGCCACCAGGGCCACCAGGATGGTCAGTAGGAGCCGTGGGGCCTGCCAGGGTCTGGCCATCGTCCCTCAGCTCGGGGAGGAGCAGGAAGAGCCCCCTCACGCTCCAAGGGCCCAATGGGATCACACTGACCCTACCTGCCCTGGCCAGATTTAAGAGCAGCTGGTAGTAACCACCCACAGTGCTTCTCACCTCCTCCTAGGAGTTGCTGCAGGGGGAACAGGTGCACAGCCTGTTCAGGAGCAATCTTACTCCCACTTGCTTTCATTTTGTCACGGTAACTTTGTATCTCCCACGCCTACTCCTGCCTGTGCCCCTCCCCTCCCCCACATCCACCACACCATAGCCTCCTTGTTTTTGGGAGTTGCTCCCTTGGCACCAAGCTCGCTCCTAGGAACCCAGCATCACCTTGGTGGAGGTCAAACCTCAGTGAGGGGCCACAGGAGGCCTCAGGGCGGAGGAGACGACGTGGACAGTGCTGGGTCGCAGGAAGCGGAGCCTGCAGAGGCGGCTGGCTGGTGGAAAGAGGCACCTGTGTGCTCTTGAGGGTCCCTCTCCCCTGGCCCGGAGACGACGCTGGGCCACTGCTCCTCCCCAACCAGCAAAGAAGCAGCGGGGGCAGGCAGAAGAGCAGGAAGCCGTCACCGTAGAGTCTGACGGCGCCTGCAGGCACCCAGCCCGAGTGTGAACTCAACTGCACCTTCTACGCTTGGGACAAGGAGGAAGGGATAGACAGGATGCTGAGTGGGAGGCTCTGCACTCTCAGAGGGTGTGGGGGACCCAAAGAGCTGACAGCTCTGGAGCCCCGAGACCCCGAGGGGACTCCTAAGGTTGGCGTCACCTAGGGGAGGGAAGAAGTCATAGTGGGCAGCTCCTGAGGCTCCAGCCAAGGCACGCACACAGAGCACAGGCGCCAGCATGGTGGTGGCATGGCTCCCAGGTACCCCCCGCCAGACACGCAATGCAGAGACCAGTAGGGACTGCCCGGAGGGAATGCGGGGGAGCCCCAGGAGGGGGTATCTGGACGGCAGGATGCCTGCTTCATTTTCCCATTAAGGATCAGCCGGATTTGCCCACGTGTCTCCTAGGGGAGGCCAGGAACGTGCAAGCAAGGGTGTCCTTCCCCCAGGCCACACACACAGACTGTCACAGGGGCACGGAAGCAAAGGAAAGCACAGTGCTCACCAGAAGTCTTCCCGGGGTTGCAGTATCACTGCGACCTCACCGGAAGCTGCCTCCCCTCCTGGCGGGCAAGGGGGTGAGACGGGTCTGCACTCAAACGCCCACTCCCCTTACAAGTCAATTCAGGAGGGTTCCTTCTGCTTTTGTTCCCAGGCAAGAACAGCTGGGAAGCAGAAGAGACGGGGCTGGGAAGGCAGGACAGATGGGGGCCAGGAGTGGAAGTGCTTGGAGGGTCCTGGTGTCTTGGCAGCAGGTGGCAGGGTAAAGGGACTGTGTCCAAGCCTCCTGTCTGTGCTTCCTGACTGCCGTCAACTTGCCTGGGGCACACTGGAGAAAAGCAAGACGCTGCCATCCATGGGGTCTGGTGTGATGCCTGCTCAGCCACTATGCCCTGGCACAGCCCCTGGTGGGTTGCTCTGATAATTCAGGCAGGGCCAGCGGCACAGACCACTCATTCCCTTCTTCCTCAGTAACTCGGCCTTGCTTGTTGTGGCATGGGACTCCCTTCCCCAGACCCCTGACACGGCCAGGGTGGCTGAGACTTAAGTGTAATTGTCACTGGAGAGGTACAAGAGCTGACTTAGCTGCGTGGAGCCACTGCTGCCTTCTTACCTGTTATTGGACTCCGGCAGTGATGTCGGAACATGGAGTCTGGAGGATGGGAGTGAGTGCTGAAGCTGGGTGAGCAGAGGATGGAAGGGGACCAGTTCCTGTGCCCTCATCATTTTGGTGGTGGGGTTCACAGTGCCAGCCCTAGATGGCCACCCTGACTTCTTTCTTGAAGACAGTGAACTCGCCTGCGGAGGGCGGTTTTGGTCTCACACCTCCGACACGTGGTGAAATGCTGAGTAAGCAGTGGGTCCATAGGCACGGGCGATCTGAGCAGAATTCACAAAGCCTCAGTTGTGTTTATCACATTGCACTTGCAGAGTGTCGGCCTCCCTGGCTGTGGCAGACGCTAAGTACCCAGCCCTTGACAAGGACTGCTGGAGCTCTGATGGTGGGGGCAGGGCTGCCCCCAGGCTGTAGCCCGCCTGCTCTCACCCCTTCAGCTTGGCATTCATCTTCCCTAGTGCCTGCAGGGCAAAGGCGGGCAGGCATAGTGGGAGTGGTGGGGGCGTGCACTGACTCACTTCCTGCTGGCCACTTTCTTCCTGCTGCCTGCCAGCCTTCCTGGCCCTGCAGGAGGGGGTGAGCAGCGTGTGGAACACCGCACACCCCCACCCCTGTCTCCTGATCCTACCTTGTGGCTTCGCTTCCTGTTCTCGCCTCCCCTGCTGGCTGTATTTTTATTTATTTATTTATTTATTTACAGGCAGAGTGGACAGTGAGAGAGAGAGAGACAGAAGTCTTCCTTTTCCATTGGTTCACCCCCCAATGGCCGCTGCAGCCGGTGCACTGCGGCTGGTGCACCGCGCTGATCCGAAGGCAGGAGCCAGGTGCTTCTCCTGGTCTCCCATGTGAGTGCAGGGCCCAAGGACTTGGGCCATCCTCCACTGCACTCCCGGGCCACAGCAGAGAGCTGGACTGCAAGAGGAGCAGCTGGGACAGAATCTGGCGCCCCGACCAGGACTAGAACCTGGGGTGCCGGTGCCACAGGTGGAGGATTAGCCTATTGAGCCAAGGCACTGGCCCAGCTGGCTGTACTTCAAGCATTTTATCAAACCCAAGCAGTGGCCGCTTCCCTAATCTTGATAATTTTAAAAAAGATTTATTTGTTTTGTTTGAGAATCAGAAATACAGCGAGGAAGAGGGAGTGAGAGATTTTCCATGTGCTGGTTCACTCCCCAGACGGCTGCGGCAGCCAGAGCTGAGCCAGGCAGAAGTCAGGAGCAGGTGCCGTGAGCAAATGAAGCATGTGGAAGCAGAGAACATGCAATTAGAGGGAAAACATCACCAGTCTGAGGACAAGGAGGCGAACTGGGAAGCCTGACAATGTGCTTGAGAACAGCAGAACTCTTGAAGAAGCTTAGAAAGATTGGGCGATCTTTTTTTTTTTTTTTAAAGATGTATTTGTTTTACTTGAGAGTCACAGTTACATGGAGAGAGAGGAGAGAGAGAGAGAGAGAGAGTCTTCTATACACTGGTTCACTCCCAATTGGCCGCAACAGCCAGAGCTACGCCGATCCAAAGCCAGGAGCCAGGAGCTTCTTCCAGGTCTCCCACATGGGTGCAGGGGCCCAAGGACTTGGGCCATCTTCCACTGCTTTCCCAGGCCACAGCAGAGAGGTGGCTGGGAAGAGGGGCAGCTGGGACTTGAACCAGTACCCATATGGGATGCCAGCGCTGTAGGTGGTGGCTTTACCCGCTATGCCACAGTGCCAGCACCAGGGATGATCTCTTAAAGTCTTTTTAACCACCAGAGACTTATTAGCTGGGACCTCAGTACTGGATCCATTTGGACCAGTTGGTACCACATTTCTCCGTGAGGATGGATTGCACAGCATG